TTGCAGTCCCAGCTTGCACCCCCAGCCTCACAGCCCTGCAGCCCCGCCTGGCACCCTGCCTTGGCCTGGCGCCACCCACTCACCTGCTAAACCATCCCGCTGAGGTCCTGCTCTTGTCCAGGCCCATCAGGGTTGGCAGCACCTCCACTGCTGCCGGCTGACAGCGCTGTGTCGCCGACGCCTGCCATGTTCTGTGTGGCCCCCTGGTGGTCAGTGCATGTCATAGCGAGCAGTCGAACTCTGAGGGGACAATTTGCATATTAGGCTTTTATTATATAGGCTAGGTTCAGTGATTAAAAAATGACGAATGATCAGTATCTTTGTGCTCTTCGCTCTCTCTCTCGTTTTTGGTCTCCTGGTGCTTATAAGGATGCAGGATATTTGATGTGGGGGCCAGCTCCAATATAAATGAGGATAGCAGTCACATATGTGTTATAAATTGCACATAATTAAAACCCCCCTTGCTAAAATGTACTTAATCTGCCTTCTCTAACCTCTGCTTCAGAGTAGCTGCACATGTATTTATTTATTTATTTATTTATTTATTTATTTATTTATTTTTAAAATATATTTTATTGATTTTTCTCCCTTAGATGTCACAGATGGCACGATCTCCAAATCCTGCAGGGACTGTCCACGTCCTTCCTGATCTCCCAGCATTTGGCAGCGTAAACTGATTCCCGTCTTCCCTGTCCTCTGGCAATACTGTTATCTCTTGGGCCTCAAGTAATTCCAAACTCTTTCCTTGGTCAGTTACAATAGGTCTGTTTCTTCCCTCCTTCCCTTCAACATAACTATTTCTCCTGAGTCTGAACTGAGCCTATTTCACCCTTTCTCCCTTGGCCAACTCATTCATTGCCTGGTTTGTATTACTGTTCAGTGCAGATTCTGACCATATCTGAGACTCACAGTTCAGTTCCCCCCTGCTAGCGTTTTCATATGGTGGGCCTACTAATATCACAAATTCAACCTTTCCAGAGGCAAACACACTCTCTCCATCTTTCCTCAGATTATCCATAGACATTCTTATTTTTGCCTATGATGTCATCACAAGAACAGTCCCATCTACCATATCTGATGATCATAGGTCATTTATAAATGAGAAAAATTTGAATGTTTTTCTTTCAGTTCATGGTGGGGACAACTTAAGTCCTGATGCACACTGTCCATTTCCAAGGGTGGGGAACCTTTTTTTTTTCTGCCCAGGGCCACTTGGATATTTATTTATTTATTTATAAAATATATTTTATTGATTTTTTAGAGAGAGGAAGGGAGAAGGATAGAGAGTTAGAAACATCAATGAGAGAGAAACATTGATCAGCTGCCTCCTGCACACCCCCTATCGGGGATGTGCCCGCAACCAAGGTACATGCCTTGGCCGGAATCGAACCTGGGACCATTCAGTCCGCAGGACGACGCTCTATCTACTGAGCCAAACCAGTTAGGGCACATGTATTTATTTTTATATATTAGGTTTTATTTGAAAACTAGAGGCCTGGTGCATGGATTCATGCATGCGTGGGGTCCCTTGGGGTGGCCTGTGGGGATCGGGCCCCAGCTCGTGCCCCCAGGCTTGCAGTCCCAGCTTGCACCCCCAGCCTCACAGCCCTGCAGCCCCGCCTGGCACCCTGCCTTGGCCTGGCGCCACCCACTCACCTGCTAAACCATCCCGCTGAGGTCCTGCTCTTGTCCAGGCCCATCAGGGTTGGCAGCACCTCCACTGCTGCCGGCTGACAGCGCTGTGTCGCCGACGCCTGCCATGTTCTGTGTGGCCCCCTGGTGGTCAGTGCATGTCATAGCGAGCAGTCGAACTCTGAGGGGACAATTTGCATATTAGGCTTTTATTATATAGGCTAGGTTCAGTGATTAAAAAATGTTTGAAAAACCACTACGTTAATACATTATTCCCTATAGGTCTCTGTTAAAATGCAAGTGTGTGTCCAAGGAAGGGACATCAGAGGTTATAAACTTTTGGCATGCTTGCCAAATATCTTTCATTGTTTCATGCCCCAAAGGCCCGCATGGCCCATTGGGCAGTTGCCCCCAGCCACTAGAGTTAGAAGGTGCTGGAATTCTTGCATGCTTGCTACTTTTAAAGGTTTACCAATCCCCAAATTTAACCCATAATAGCTCTATAAACACATTAGTACTTACTGGTTGTTCAGTTGTAGCAATATTATGGTGATTTAGAGTCAGGGAAAGTCTGCAGCAGTAGAGTTTTCTGCATAAGTGGATAGGATGGGTTAACTTTTGGTGAGTGATGTGAGAACCTCTGGTACCAGGGAAGCTGAGCTCAAAGGGAAGGTGGAGACCATCCACCTATGGAGACATTATAGTTGAGAATTTTCTGGGTAATCCCAATTTAAAAGTCAAATTATTCCATTAACCAAAGTAATTTTTCTAATTGGCTAACTAACCTTTATTCTAAACATTTGACATTGATATGTCTCTCACTACCTAGAATAATACAAAACTCATTTTTCTAGAATTTATAATTTATTTATCCAAATGGTATATTTTTACTATTTTAATGTGAGTTTTCTCCATCAGACAGTGAAAAACTTATTATTTTAAAAAATATATATTTTCATTGATTTTAGAGAGGAAGGGAGAGGGAGAAAGAGACCAAAACATCAATGATGAGAGAGAATCACTGATTGGCTGCCTCCTGCATGCCCCACAATGGGGATCGAGCCCACAACTGGGAATTGAACTGGGACCTCCCGGTTCATAGGTCGACCCTAAACCACTTTACTGAATTTATTTAGTTTCATTCATCTTTATATCTCCAGCACAATGCATAATTCCTGAAATATATATTTATTCGTTGTTGAGCCAGTTCACATAAGTTGATTTAGGGGCCATAAAATATACCCATGGAGCCATTGTGATGAATTTCCTAAATGCCAGTTCGTTTTACCATAGTTAGGGTACCACCCCTTCAGCTTCAGAAACCTGCCATATGCAACTGTGAGACTTGTGATCCTCACGTCAACCTCTGGCTTTGCGGATGTCAATTTATAATCATGTACACCTGAAAGTGATATAATGTTATTTACCAATGTTACCCATATAAATTTAATTTTTTTTAAAAGAGGCTCTCTGGAAACCTTAGGCCAACAAGTTAAATATTATTGCCCAGCAAGTTAAAAGTTATTACTTCATAGCTCAAGAAATAATGACTACATCTCTTCATGCCAGATGCAATTTTGAAAGATCAGGGTTGGTTCATAACAGTAGTCTTCACGTGGCCCTTAACTTCTCTTTAGCTGCTGTCCACCATATTGTGATGAGAGTAAATACCAAAGATGATGGCCAATGGAAATCTTGACAGCCATGTACTCTTTTGTGGTTTGGCCATACTGTTTTCTTTCTCAGATGTTTTTCCTTTCTAACATTTGACCCTTGGATTCTACCCTGCTTATCCTTGTAGAGTTGCCCATTTTTAAAATTTGATTTCTAATTCCAAATCCTCATTTCCCGAGTTTCATCATTGTGTGGGAGAATGTTCTTAGTTATATTATAGCTTGCTTTGGAAATGATCTCCAAAGAGATCGAAATCTGAGGAGCCTTTCAGCCATATTAACTCAGGTTATAAACTTTTGGCATGCTTGCCAAATATCTTTTATTGTTTCATGCCCCGAAGGCACGCATGACCCATTGGGCAATTGCCCCCAGCCACTAGAGTTAGAAGGTGCTGGAATTCTTACATGCTTGCTACTTTTAAAGGTTTACCAATCCCCAAATTTAACCCATAATAGCTCTATAAACACATTAGTACTTACTGGTTGTTCAGATGTAGCAATATTATGGTGATTTAGAGTCAGGGAAAGTCTGCAGCAGTAGAGTTTTCTGCATAAGTGGATAGGATGGGTTAACTTTTGGTGAGTGATGTGAGAACCTCTGGTACCAGGGAAGCTGAGCTCAAAGGGAAGGTGGAGACCATCCACCTATGGAGACATTATAGTTGAGAATTTTCTGGGTAATCCCAATTTAAAAGTCAAATTATTCCATTAACCAAAGTAATTTTTCTAATTGGCTAACTAACCTTTATTCTAAACATTTGACATTGATATGTCTCTCACTACCTAGAATAATACAAAACTCATTTTTCTAGAATTTATAATTTATTTATCCAAATGGTATATTTTTACTATTTTAATGTGAGTTTCCTCCATCAGACAGTGAAAAATTTATTATTTTAAAAAAAATATATTTTCATTGATTTCAGAGAGGAAGGGAGAGGGAGTAAGAGACTGAAACATCAATGATGAGAGAGAATCACTGATTGGCTGCCTCCTGCATGCCCCACAATGGGGATCGAGCCCACAACTGGGAATTGAACTGGGACCTCCCGGTTCATAGGTCGACCCTAAACCACTTTACTGAATTTATTTAGTTTCATTCATCTTTATATCTCATTCTAAATTTAGTTATAAGTGATTGGCTACCTAAGCTTTACCAATAGAAAACATATCATTTAAAGGTGATATTTTAGTACAGGTTAGTAATTATACAATGGTCAGTTTTAAGACTTAGTGTCAGCAATTTTCACAATAAATTCAAATAAATATGTCATATAAATATGTTTTTGTAACATCTCATGGAATGTCAAGTCTGGACAATGGACAAGGAGTTAAAAATCTTGAATTCTGTTGTTAGTTGCTCCTGTGATTTGCTGATGAAACCCATGTTTCAAAACCTAACTGGTCACCTATATCCATTTTTTTCTTCTTAAATTTATTCCCCTTGCAGAACACAAGCAGTTTTAAGACTTACTATCAGCAATTTTCACAATAAATTCAAATAAATACATCATATAAATATATTTTTGTAGCATCTCATGGAATTTCAAGTCTGGATGATGGACAAGGAGTTAAAAATCTTGAATTCTGTTCTTAGTTGCTCCTGTGATTTGCTGAAGAAGCCCATGTTTCAAAACCTTCTAACTGGTCACCTATATCCACTTTTTTTCTTCTTAAATTTATTCCCCTTGCAGAACACAGAATTATGGTTTAAAATCTCAAATTGCATTATATCACTTCTCTCCTTAAAACCATTTAACAGTGTCTTATTGCCATTAGAATATACTCCAAAATCCTTAACCTAGCTTAAAGGACTCCCTCCCTGATTTTGCCTCTTTTCTTGACCTTTTTCTCTCTCTACTTTAGCTACACTGATCTCTTTTATTCTAATTCTTTCAAAAGGCTACACTTTCTTTTGCCTCAGGACCTTTGCACAAGCTTTCCCCCCCTCTATTCATATTACTTATCCTTCTTCACAAGGTTCTGTATTTAAGTTCTTTTAGCACCAATCATTATTGATTGATTAAAAATTACATATCATGTTTCAAATAATCAAATTAATGTCTGTTTTTACCATCACATTTCACGTGAATACTGTTTCCTTAGCATTTAGCACATTAACTAGAGCATAGTAGCTATATTTGTTGAAATAAATGAATGAATTAATGAACAAAGCGTCTTTGGTTATATCAGAATAAAAAAGCAAATCGAGGTTTTCACTGAAAGTAAAATTACAACTGTGTTTGCTAAATAGTGTTTTATATTTAAATTAATTCTGTGATACCATTAGTGGGAAAATGTGCATGTTTCATTTAAGAACAATCTGTTAAAGATAAAAGCTATAAAAGGTCTAATCCTGAGAGGGAAACTATTTAGAGAGAAAATATGGATCATATAAACTTTCCTTAAAACATATCCGAGCTCTAAAAGGCAAAGAGCTTTGGACAGAAAAAAAGTGACCAGGTGCAGGAGAATTTTTTAATTGAAAAAGGACAGCTACAGAGCAGTCAGACCAACAGATGGAGGATTAATTTTGTTTATCTTTATTTTTATCCATGTAAGGGAAAACTTTGCTGAAAGTTGGAGCAAAAATTCAGAAAGGAACCCTAACAATATTATCTTAGGAGAAGACAAATATATGGATTAGCCATTAATTAGGCAAGGAAGAAAACCTACAGGAGGAATTTTGCGTTTAGTGCTTGATATTGTGAATTGGCTGCTCTTGATATCTATTGTAGTGTAGGTGAAGGAATTAGAATATTTATTGAATAATGCCTTATAGATAAAGTACTCACTTCATGCAAAACCAGTTTGCAGATCCAGACTCATAAGTGACAAGGAAGCCCAAATACTTAAAGAGCTAGAAAAGAGGGGGTCTGTGAGGCTGGGTGTCTTTGGGCCTTTTTTCTATTGATGCCACTCAAGTGGCTAATCTATTTCTCTCTGTAGCATAGTCCATGCTTTTATTTTGTTCTATTTCAAATCTTTATGGTCTGGGTGTGAGGGTCCCAGCTCACACCTGTCTGGTCCTCTCCAGCCTGTTTCTCCAGGATATTTCAGATCTTCCAGGGAAAGGGAAGGGCATGTAGATAGCTGGTGGTCCTTTAAACAGCTAGGGATGGGTCTGGAGCTGACACAAGGGCATGTGGCATTTAATTGTGGAGACAGTCACTTAGACTCTTGCTAAGAAGTAAAATAGTAGGTCTATTTCTTTGTTCTTTTTAAAATTTAAAGTGAACTTCTGATCCATGATACTCGAGAACTAAAAAGTCCATATTATCTGTATCTCTTTGGTTCATAGATTAAATCACAAAAACAAAATCAAAACAAGCCACACCCTAAAGAAGAAATAGTATTTCACTGTCCCTCATTTTCTTGGCTGGCCTGACATGTACTGAGGTAACATGATCTTTTGTCCCTAGGTACACACGTGGAGACAAGATATATCCCTTGGGAGGCTATTCCTGGAAGGAAAAATGGTAAATTTGTAAAGTGGTTCAAAATTTATTACAATCCATTTAAGTTGTCGTATATTTTATAGACAGGCCTGATAGAAGAATGCTAGATAGCTTAAATTCGTTGAATATAATAAATGTTTTGTATCTATATATAAACGCCTAAGCGACTGGCCTACTGGCTGACCAGTAGCTATGACACGCAATGACCACCAGGGTGCAGACACTCCAACTGGTAGCTATGATGCTCACTGACCATCAGGGGGCAGATGCTCAACGCAGGAGCTGTTGAGCTGCGGTGACTTGGCAGCTGCGGTTCTCTGGTGATGCACCCGGAACCAGAGAGGAGGGAGCCCGATTCCCGGGTGCATCACCCAAGAACCACTCTTTTGCAATCTGGGACCCCTCGGGGAATGTCGGACAGTCGGTTTTGGCCTGATCCCCGCAGGCCCTGCAGGCCAAGGGACCCCACCGGTCCTCTAGTTATTTATATATTTTACTTTTTCTAACTTCTCTGGTGCTGAGGGACTCTCCAGTCCTGAAATGTTGACACCATCTGGTGTCTATATCCGCAACCCCACCAATGTTGTAGAGGTAAGTTATTTGCAGTTGTGTCATCAATGGTATGGTGTGGTAAAATGTTTACTTGCTGCATATTGGTATTCAGAAACTATGATTTTGTGTTAAACAAGTGCTTTAGGATAACTGTAATCATTTCTCAGAGTCCTGTGAATGCTCTTTGAAGCAATATCTATATGGATCAAGCAAAGTAGATACTGATTCTTTTCTGGTTACTTAAATTAATACAAACTAACATATCTTCCTGAGCTATATGAGGGGGTGCCATTTTTTGTCTAAATTCCAGTATTAATTACCTATTTAATCTTTACTATCTTACGATACTCATATAGTCATATTATTGCCCTTTAAGAATGTTCAAAACTGAGGGTCAGTGAAGTCAGGAGGTGTAGGAGGCATGTCAGATTCTAGGATGAATGAAGTGTACTCTGATGGACTAGATTTTTTATCCCATTATTTAGTGCAACTTATTACTTTTTGATAAATTTCTCATTTCTCTCTAAACATGTTAATAAATTAAATTTTCTAGTACAGCTTAACCAAGAGTCTATGAATGAGGAATTGTGTCAGAGTAGTGGGAAGGACATTTAGTTTCCCCGTTTCCAATGATTTTATCCCATGGGTATCCCACTCTTCCAGGACACTCCTCTGAGCCTCTACTGTATTATCACAATTATGCCAAGTTTCTGAGGAACTGAGAGATGAATGCCTCTGTCTCTCTCTGATCATCTGTTTTCAATTACTTTAAGCTGAATAACCCCTAAAAAAAGTCATGGTTATCTCCACAACCCTCCTCCAGACTCTTAATTACATTTTTTTCCCCAAGCACAGCACTTACACACCATTTTAGGTACCTAATGGGGGCAGCTAATATGCCAGCGAGAAAGGACGCAGAACTGCATGGGTTGAAGGAAACCAAACTTTAGACCCAAAGCAATTAGAGCAGCATTTAACTTGTTGGTGATTACAGGTCTGGTTGCGCAGCTACGGCAGCAAACTTTGGAGCCTAAAGAACTACATTTCTGCATACTTTCTTGGGTAGTAGCATCTTGACTGCATTAAAATATCTAGAGGTGAAGACTCTCAGGGTTTCCCAGCTCATCTTCTTGGATAAGCTGGAATGTATCGAAATCCTGTATTGAATGCCAGGGGTTCTGTCCATTTGACTTTGCTTCATTGAGTAGTAGGTAGTCTCCTGGACAGGTGTCTTGACCACTAGTCAACCCCAAGAAGAAGTGAACTGGCTATAGGTCTATAGGTGCAGAGAGCTAGAGGGCCATCTAAAAAGCTGATAGGTCCCCTGAGTGTTTGCGGTCTACCCTGTGAAACAATGCTCAGTCAGCAATAGAAAAACTTAGGCAAAACAAGTTGTTAGTTCTCCATTGAATGACTTTCATTTCCATTCCTTTACTTTCATTCTCTTATGTCCACTTTACAAAATTTAAAAAAGTATAATGCACATATTTTGAGAATGAGGTTTCAGTTTAAGCCGGCGGTGTAGATTGATTAAGTATAGTCATCAGGTGTGTTCTTGACATTTTCTTCAGTGAGCTTAAAATTCTGTAGTTCTCTTTTCATTAGCTTGTTAGCTTTTAGACTCCAACACAAAGTTTGAAACACAATAGTTACTCAATACAAATGAATTAAATATAATGAATGATTGAATGAATGAATATAGGTATCATTACATAATCAAAGAGTGAGGTGGGAAGAAAGAGGAAAGTAAGGAATAGATTCCAAGATCCCGCAATCATTTTGATGTCTGAAAAATAAGACGTTTAATCTGTGGCAACATTTAAACCCTGTGGGACTCATCTCTCAGTGTTAAATGCTGCACAGTCCATTCCAGTTTCTCAGCTGTGCCACTGGTATTGTGTTATGCTGTCTCTTTTGTATTCTGTTGTCTGGAATGAGCTATTACCAAGGACATAGTTAATAACTGGACATACATGGCAACACCTAAAAGTTATGAACTTCTGTTGACCTTTCGGGCCAATGAAGGTCATTGTAGTTATTGAGCAAACAGTAATTTAGTATTTACTAAGTGTGCCCTATGTGGAAAATACAGAGAGTACATTGAAATATATTTTAGAAATACACCTTTATTCCAAAGGGATAATAATAGGCTATCATAACAGCACAATGTGGTGTGTGTGTGATATGTGGAACAGAAAGAGATGTGGCATAACAATACTACCTTCTTCCATGGTTGTTCTGATAGTGAAGGGGCATTCTTTGTTCTGAGGAAATGTTGTATGGGTGGTGAGTTTATGTTCCTCTCTGTGAGGGAATTAGAGTCACACTGACCCTTAAGAGAATGCAGTCAAGCCTTATGTGTGCTTAGAGTTATTTTACCCCTCCTCCTGTCTTGTTTTTCAGCTTTCTTAAAGTCTGGAAAAATATTTTTTTAAAAGCTAGGTATTACTGTCATTAATTAGGGTTTTTCTATTTTAAACTTCCAATTCTGAAATAATTTTATATTCATTAAAAGGTGCAGAAATACAACACGGCACTCCTGCGTGACCTTCACCCAGTTTCCCCCCAATGATAATGTAACCGTGACCACCACCATAGATCAATAACAAAATCAAGAAATTGACATTGGGACAATACTATCAGCTAAACTAAAGCCCTTGTTTAGATTTGAAGAGATGAACCTATTCCTAATGCCTGGGCAACCAATCCTGAAAGCCTGAACTCTCTCCCACATACATAAGTCTGACTTTGAAATATCTGGCCTGGTGGGCAGGCAGTGAACAAACAGAGTTAATTCTTAAGTCTTTGCAATAGGTTTGTGGTCGGATATTATTCCCAGAATCTAGGAACAAACACATAGCCACAGCACACAGAATTTTCCTTGATGGTCAAGCAGTCATCTTTACAGTTGACTCCCCTTTAACCCTGTGTGGTACAAGGGAATTTCAAGTGTGATATTCCTTTTTAGTTTTCATAGCCACAAGTGGTCTCCCTGCTTCCCTGCCAGGCTGCAGCTACACCAAGTCCAGGGAGAAGCAAAACCTGAGCTGTGTGCTTACTTGCTAGTGAGACTCATGCTTGATATTCCTGAGTCTCCAGGGGACTTGTGATATTCCTCTGTCCACTCCTTAGACGGGCCTTTTTTGTGCTTTCCAGAAATGGTTTGGTGGTGGTTCCACATGCCCCACCTGTGGCTCTTGGAGCACTCTATTTCCAGCTGCCTTCCCTTGACAGCTCCAGCATCTGCATCTTCGACTCCTTCTAGGGATTTCTTGTTATCTGCCTCAAGGATCCAGCTCTGCGGTCAACCTCAGGCTAGAGAGAGTCAGCTTACCTCCAGAGCTCCAAGTACCCATGCTTATGGCGATGTTGGAAATTTCCTATGACCAGACTCTTGTTTAGGATATCCCACAGGAAAACCCTGAAAACAAACCCTTTGGAAACACCCATTTAATTTGAGGGGGATTTGTTCTGGTTTGTGAATCAATTTTGTAAGGAATTCTGTCTTTAAAGGCCTAGTTTCAGTTCTCTCACTCTCCCCACTCAATAGCTAATGTATATTTAAGAGCTGCCTGAAGGGTTAACTCACTTATTTTTCCTAGTAACTATAGATACACACCTCAAGGAGCTGGCTTACTTGAGCAGTTAATTTCTCTCTGGAATTTCTCTTGCTTGAATGTCCATAATACAGCGACTTCCGCAAAAAATTGATTTCCACACAAAATTCCCTGCTTGCCTTAAACCCTTCCCCACAAGCCGCCGGCTGCCTGCATAAATATGTGGATTTCCTCATGAATCATTTGTAGCATACCCAATTGCAATGGAGAGTGAAAAGGGCTGGGAAGCAATGTGATCCGACTGTTCAAGTGCTTCTTTTATAAGAAAACTGCTCTTTCTCTGCTCACAGAAGACTGAAGTTGGAATATCCTGCCCATCTATGAATGCACTTGGAAGGCATTACATACGATCACCCAGATGCTGCGTAAAATACTAATGACACTAGGGCAGATGATGCAACAAATCTATTCATTTGTTCAAAATAGGCGCTCTGTGTGCACTTGTCTGGCAAAGGTGATGAATAAGGATGTAGTCCTTGCAAAAGATTCTTTAAATGTTTGAATCTTGCCCCTTCTGGGTAAGTCTGAGCCATGAACTAGCATTTCACTGGTAATGAGATAGAGGTGTATGTCCAAGGGAGATCATTACTTGCAGCCTCTAGTGCACCTGTCTCATTGTTGAAATACTTACAGAAAAGGTGGTGTTTAAGAAACCCCCGTTTCCTATTCCTCAATTTTTATGTACTCAGGCCTTTCCCATGGCTCATAGGTATGGCAGAGACACAGCGACTTGACACTGGCTATGTGGAGGGTGGAGCTTTGTTTGTAATTTCATGAGGAAGTTGCCAGTTGTATAATCATAACTGAAAATCAACAGCTATGTTACTTCCTTATGTACCTACGAGGGCTTGAGAGATATATTGGGCACTTGTATTTGCTAACCTAGTGACAGCAAGTCTTCCCGAAGCCAAGAATCATGAGTGCGTGTCCTCTTTTCTAGCATGAGGGAAGAATTGAGAAAAAAGAATGCCTAATGCTGGATTTGGTTGTTTGAAAGGATATTAATATCCTATATTTTTGTTGCAATGGAATTGTTTTTTTAGTGTCTCTTTCTGTGGAGTCTTTATGCTAAGCGAAATAAGTCAATCAGAGAAAGACAAGTATTACATGATCTCACTCATATGTGGAGTCTAATGAACAAAATAAACTGATGAACAAAATAGATCCAGAAAAATAGAAGCATGGAACAGACTGACAAATCTTAGAGGGAATGGGGGCAGGAGGAGGGCAGGAAGAGATTAACCAAAGAACTTATATGCACACTAGAGGCCTGGTGCACAGATTCGTGCACCGGTGGGGT